AATATCTTTAAGGACCCATTCAGCTAAAAATCCTTCAAAAACTCTAGCAAAAAGGTGAGTAATCGAAATTAGGCGAAATTGATCCAAATTATTAACAGGAGTAACCTTCGGAATGGCACAAACAGATGCCTTCTTCCTGACGGAAAGAAACAAACCCGAACCAAGGCAAGTGTTAAAAATATGAGTCAAGGGAAAAGAAATCTCATAAGCAAATTCTTTCAAAAGTCAAATTGGGCAGTCATTGGCTGAACCGACTTTTTTACTGAAGCGTATGTGATTTCAACAACCGTTTGTAAACTTGGGGGCGTTAAGGCTGTGGTGGAGGAGATGCAGGAGGTAAGTAAGGTATACTCAAACAAAGAGGAGGTAAACCGGAACATATCCCCACAAAGTGCATTAAGATCAATAGAGATTGCCACAGGAGGTTTATCACAATTTAAAAAGTTAGTACCAGGACAAGTCTGTCTGGGCCATTTGCCAGGCTCCGTCTTCTTCGAAAGATCAGTCTTGCGTTGATAAAACTTCTGTTTGGCTACTCGAATCATTCTTTGGAGCTTATGTCGTAAGTGCTTGTAATTACCATTTCGCTGAAATGCAATTGCTTCACGCTCCAGTAATGCCCTTCTAATCTCACTGCCCGTCCAAGGTTTATCATTACTTCGCCGTTCAACCATGACAAGTTTGCAATGTTGCTTAAATTGATTACAAATACGCTGTTGTAATTAATCATCAGCATAATTAGGGTCATAAGAACGATACAGACAAGACCAGTCCATGTTCGTGATCCACTGACGAAAAGTACGAACCAAAGAGTCACAGTAATCCCTGAAAGAGAAGCTTTTTAGGGCTATATGACACAATAGCGCAAAAAGGTAAATCCACACATTTTGATGGCATGTTTATTAGGGTCGTTCTTGAACTAGCACTGAGGCGGTGGATACAAAACACATAAATATCACCGCAACCACAAAACCTCGAGATGGCTTGGAACCAGACCTCTGAAGACCTCTCTACTGCTGACATCGTCGAGAACATAAGTTGCAACAATGCCCCCATTTCGGTTTTGACGATCCCGGTGACACAGGCGAAAAGATGATACTTAGCAAGAACTAGCAGGGTTGAACAGTGGAAAACCAAGTCTCAGTTACCGCAAGCAGATGAACAAAGTTGTATTGACGCACGAGAGAGGTTTCCAACTCACTGAACTTGTTAACAAGGGACCGAACATGAATAGCATCACAGCTGGTAGACAAGGTCAATGGTGCATTGCTCGACGAGTACTGACGAGGAACTCTCTCTATGACGATAAAGGCCAATAACGTACAGCAAAAGCTTTCGCGTCGCCTCGTAAACTGCACAACAGGAATTGGCAGGGGATGTTCTGTATAAGCACACTGCGTTACTCGGCGTCCAGATCCCTTCCCCCTGTATCGCAGGACGCTGTTCCCCTTGAGAATTGTAAAAATATCCAGTTGAAGGAAATACTTACTCCCACGGCAGGCTACAAGTTGATCACAAGAATAAGGAACTGATAAACACTTTTCAGTAGATTTCTGGGGAGTTTCAGCCAAGGTACGCAGGGCTGGACCAGGGTTGATATGATTGTCCATAAGTGTAGTTATCTGAAAAGGGGAGTCGAAATTGGGAACAAGACAGAGAGAGAGAAAGTGCCGTGCTTTGTCCATTTCAACACCGCCTTCCTATAGTAGGGCAAAACCCTGAAGGCACCACTTCTTGAAGCTTGGGTAGGCTACTGCACACCACAAGAGTTCCATGAGGTTGATTCAAAGAACACCCTAAAATGGCCACATGTTGATTAATGACAGGTAACATCGATCCCATAATCATGTCCAAATTTAAGTTGGCTAAGGTGTTCATATAGATAAATACAATAGAGACAATGCACCACCAACAGTACTTTCACAACGACCGCTCGATTATACTCTCGTCAGCCACGCTGAACACGAGTTCGTTGAGAGGACTGCAGAGTAGCAGGAGGTCAAAATGAAGGGCTTACAGAACCTACATCCAGTTCGGGTGAAAAAACCGTCATGGCGGCCCTTAACTTGTACAGGTCAGGACAATAAAAACAGCAAAGTTCACGGTTCAAGTAGCACAGACTACAACCAAACGCAGAGACAAGAGAAAACGAGATAAAAAACACTAGACAAATATTAGAAGATAAAACGGCGATGTTAAAAATAGGCGACAATATAACTTGATTAAAAAACGAGACGACGGAGTGAAAAAAATCTACATCTGGCAGGCAGCAACAGCACCCTCTACTCGTTATTTCATCTTACAGTTGAACTAACGGGTTTCCTGATTTATTCATCAAGTACCATGCTTCCCAACACTTTTTGTTCTGTCAGATATTTTGGCAGGTGTGTCAGATATTTTGGTATCGCATATTGAGTCGAGGGTACTTGCAGGTCATCGCTTTGCCAACTGAACCCGTCACCGTGATGCAAGACCTTAGATATCCTACGTGCTCGAAGTACAGTATCATTACTTATAAAGAGGTTACCATGCAAGTGGTCATTCTGTTTATGTTTCAGAGAGGAAGGGAGGGTAAAACTGTACAAGCACACGATGTGTACCATGTACAACCCCCAAAACAAAACAAAACAAAACAGTTAACACAAACAAATCCACTCTTTGACCTATCGATGCCGGTATTTTTCATGTGAAGGCACTGAAACACAATTTTGGTCTCTCGCGTCGCAGATATAGCCTACCATGCAGCCAAAAGAAAAACGGGGGGCATTCATGTGGGGCCACCAACCTCACAAACGGGTTTCAGTCAGGTGCAGTGTACTAATTCAAATGAAAGTTTGTTGGCCAACTATTAGCATTAGAAGTGCCCCCTCTTTTGAAAAGGAGATTGTATGGACCTCAAAATGGTGAGATTGTGTAAATCGTTGCCGAGTTACAGAATGTGAGAGCAGAATGGCTAAAAGTACGGTTGACAAATGGTCCCCTGTGCCCGAGAAAGGTTTGCCAGTTGCAAAATGCTGGAAGCAGACGTCTGAAAATCTACTTTTCGGGTGGTGATTTGGTTTTGTGGGAATAATTAAAAAAGTAATTGGATCACCCACAAAAAACCTGAAAAGATATTAAAAGATAGGGGACCAGACAATAGTTCAATTTGTAATTCAAAGACCTCAGGGGTGTTGGTATTCATTTTAGTTAGGCCATGACCAGTGCCGATTTTACACTGTTTTCAATGGGGCTTGGATAAGTGAACTGTGCCCTTCAACTTGAACTTTCAACTCAAACTAAATGACGCCCTCAATGGACATGCAGCCTTTGGAATTTCGCCATCTTCACTGTCGAGGTCACGGTAAGGCTTGACTGGATGACATGTTTTGTTCCAATCGCCTGAGTTTCCTGCATAATAACAAGAGCTGAATATTTCATAAATAATTAGCGATTGATCTGTTATTTCCAACTTGGGATTTGCGGGCCCTTCTAATTGCAATATACAGGTCAGGTCAGTGAGGTGTCGGATATAGAAGAAGTCTCCATGTTTTCGTCACAAAGTGAAAAACCGGAAGTAACAGTAACTTGGCTACTCGAGGACCAATGTGCGAGCCAAAATTGTTGGTGGAGGGACCTCGCTAAAATTGGCGGTTAGAGGTGATGGCAGCATCATACTCATCTCGAGAGTCTTCTATTTTTGTTAATTGGGCCTATATGAGCTTGCCGGGCACTCTCGCTGTGTTTTCTTGATTTGTTTCTTTGGAGGATTCCTTTTTCTAGGGAAATGATACCCAATATTGCACCAGGTTCATGTTGCTGATTTCAATGAATTGATTACCTAATTCAAGTTGGTTCAATTTAATACAATCATTTATTTGTAATGCTAGCATGAACTTCATTGAACTTTATTTCTCGGTTTGCATTTCATTGTTATAACTTTTTTTATAAAATTCACCTAATTTACAATTTAAAGACAGAAAATATGAAAATGAAGAAATTTTTAACTGACATCATAAAACAGGCCACAGTATCCAGTAAAATTGTTATTAAAACACGAAATAGCACAAGGTACGAAGGAAAAGCGAAAGAAAGGCTTTTTCAGTTTTAGTTGAGCAGATATAAACTTCCTGACTGGGTAAAGTTTAAGAGTGGTCAGCCTGGGTCTGTGTCATCAAGCAATAATGTTCCAAGTTTTGCTAACTTTGCTGCCTGGTAGACTGACTTAAATCCAAAATATTATCACAATAATTTTCCCGCAGATCTAATAATTCTGTCTATTTTCCAAAGATTCTGCGCCGTAAGGCCACCTACCCATGCTACACAACAAAATGCAAAGACAGACTGAATGGTACTTCGATAAAACATTGAAGTATCCCGATCAACGTTAAATACTTTAAGTTTTCTTCGGAAGTAAAATTAGCCTTCGCACATTACGTTTGCGTATTGATACTTCAATTCAAGCGATTACCTTAATTCATACATAACCAAGTGCTTATGGTGACTGACTACTTCAGTATCAATACCAACAATCTCCTGAGTTTTCCGAAAATCAAACGTAAGTTCCTTAATTCTTATTTCAATTTAGCACCAGAAACGATGTCATCATCAGACAGCCTCAGTCAAACCGAAGCAACGGATTTCCTGGAGGGCGTACTACAGCTGACGGCTCCGCTGGAACACCTGGCGAAAGACCGAGTCGGCTTCCTGCGTGACCTCATCACTGCCTTCCTTGGAACGATTCCCTTCCAGAGCCTGACGGCGATCGCCACGCCCAGGCCAGAGAGGCGGGCACTGACCTTCACCGAGGTCAAGGCCAACATGATGGCCCGCGTGGGCGGCTTGTGCTTTGAGATCAATCACTTCATGAAGGCTCTTCTGGAAACGCTCGGATTCGAGGTATACCACGTCGGCTTCAGAACCTTCGGGAAGCCGAACAATCACCTGGCAACTGTGGTGAAGAGTCTGGTCCGACCTGGCGACCTCCATCTGGTGGATGTTGGCATTGGGTATCCCACATTTTTGCCCATACCTCTGGACTTTGATAAGGAGTCACCAGTCTACACGTCCGGTTTCCTGACGCACAAGTTCGTGAAGGGTGACAACGGCAGCATCCAGTGGATGCTCAGGGCAGGGCGACACTACAAGGAAAGCGAATCAGGGGCAACCGAGGGCGAGTGGTTCACGTTCATGGTGTCCGACCTGGTGTTCCACGATATCGAGTTTTTTGCAGACAGCATGGAAAATATCCACACTGTGGAGAGCGGCCCAGAGGCCCTGTCGCCTTTCTTACGCACTCTAAGGGTGGTGGACTTCCGCAACGGCAGGCTTATTGCCATCAAAGACACCATCATCTTGGAGGAAGACGGTAGCGGCAAGATAAACAAGAAGTGCGCAACGCGCCCTCAAGAGCTGTTGGAAGCGATCCACGATCACTTTCCACAGTTACCCACTGAGGCTGTTCTGAAGGCTATGGACACCATTGATCTCAAATTTGACTGCTAAGCCTATAAGTTAGGTTACTGATTCACTAAAATATTATGAAATCCATCCTAACAATATCGCCATATCCCAACAATCACTCGTGTCTGTTTGTGTCAAGTTTGAGAAACGACTTGACTCCGAAAGTCTCTCACTTCTCCTGTTGAATCATGCAAATAAAGCTTTCAGTAAAGGCAAGTGCAGCAACGATTTTTTTTTCATTGTGACTCTCTGCTAGCATGTTTCATTCGTTGAACGTATTTCAGCATAAGCAACTTAATTACTGTATTAAATATAGGCGCTTCTTGTTTATGCTAAACGGTTATTGGCATATACTTTTTAGTATAATTTTTTTATGTTTTAAAACTGTTCTTTTCTGCATGAGATTGGAAGAGAGGGTAATAATGAGAGAGTTGGTGGTTAAAGTAAATTGGTGTCGGGTGGACTTAATTACACCAAGTTATCGGATAATTATTTGACCTGACTATGTTATTTGAATGTTTGGTTCGATGGGGAATTTTTCGGTCAGGCAAGCTTCTAAAGAAAAATAGTTGATATGTATAAGTATTTTATACCTTTCAATCGATTCAAATTTCTTTCTCATAATTATGTGTTTTTTTATACTTCAATAAAATAACAGATTCGGGGCCAAAATCCTGTCGCACACAAACCTTAAGGGAATGATAAATAATTGCTGGTACTTATTCACTTACCTTTCGAGCAACATTAATAAACGATACTGGTATTGTTCTGGTTTTATAGTGTCTACGGCTTCAAATTACAGGTGATTCCATTGGAAGTGGTTGAATCCACTTTCACAGGCTCGTGTATAATTTTAACACTTCGAGGTGGCAGTAGGTCAGACCCAGCCCTGCTCACGATGTGGTACATATGCTGCAACCGGTCATGTGACGTTACCCTATTCAGAAATGCGTTGATTAGCCTTTTGAGTTAACAATACATTCTTTTTCTTAAAAAATCTGACAGATCAAAAGCCACTTGATACTAGACACAGCAATCGCAGTTCTGACATTATTATCACTGAAGCACATTATTAGAAACCCTCTTAAACAGTCAACTACGCCGTTTTTGACGTTCTACGGGTTGATAATCTTCTTCCAGATGGTGGCGCCATCTTCATAACCTTGAAGACTCATTAATGTGCCACATTAAATGAATGGGCAATTCGTGGATGGAGTGCATTATACGTGTAGTGCCTTTTTCTCTGACTTTGTTGATTTCCCCCCCAGAAATATCTTGTTTCATATTCGATGGTAGCTACAGATTTTCGCTTCAAATGAAAAGACTCCCGTTTCCTTTCAGTTCCATTTGGTTCATATTTGTACATACTCAGTTTTATTTTTAGTAAGGTGAGGTGACAGAGCGGCCGGCGCTGTAAGCGACGCTTGCCTGGTAGTTGCGCCAACCGTACAGTATCAAATCATATGAAGACTTCGTGTCATCCACCATTTCGTTACAGTCGCCCCTTGTTTATTTCTGATCCCTTAAAACTGAATCGATTATGTAATTACGATATTTGGTAAATGCCATAGAAAGATTTCTTTGTAAGAATATCGGTTTTATTAAAAGGATATATATACCTGAAGACTTAACAATTCTAGACAGCACCGATGGTCATAGTACTACACGTTAGATCTATTAAGGGCAAAGCCACGTTGTTGTATGATTGAATCACTCAGCTGCGGCTTGAAATTACACACGACTCTATTGGAACGGGCTCCAGCCATGACCATTGTCTCGTGCGTAATAGTAGGCCGTAGCCAAGTAATTCGGACACGGCTTATAATAGGGGTTTGTCGATGTACCGTAAAAAAAAGGGCCGAGTGTGTTTTACTTGGAATTGTACAGATTTAAAGGATTCCTTGAGGGCTGGCACGTGACCCCGCAGCTGGGTGAAATCCAGCCTTGTCGTTAGCCGAAGGACCCGTGGTGCATAAGCCTTAAATTTGTTTATCATGACCTGTCTTGTATGAGAGTGTGCATATGAGAGGGAAAGTACAAATCGTGCACGTCCGGGTTGGAATCGTTATTTTATTATGTGATCATGCTCCAGTGACCTTTTTGAATATGGATTTACTATTAAACCTCACGGGGTTTAGGCATTGTGGTACTTAGACTTGTCCACCAGTCCTACCAGGCGTGACATACACCTGTACAACCATGTAGGTTTTTTTTTTTTTTTTGAATGACCTTATATGCATGACGTTTCTTCTTCGCATGTAAAGGGTATACTCATAGCGTGTTACTTGATTGAGGACTTTGGAGGTGAAAGTTAACTTTGCAAACCAGTAAATAAGCTACCATAGAAAACAGCGTGGAATTACCGCACTTCCCAAAAAATCCAAAAATACAGGTTTCGCAGGTGTTCCAGACAAATAGGAAATTTAAGTTCACTTCTTTATCATTCCATTTTCTTTTCATTTTTTGCTGGCTTACCTTTTGAAGATATTTCTCTCGAGAGAACCCAAAACCGTCATGAGACCCAAGGCCGTTTCGAAAACTGATGCTTACCCCCCATTGCAAATGAAGGGACTTGGAGGGCCCTGTTATGTCTGATACTTTCAGAAATACAGGCTGGCAGTCCTGCTGGAAGATTCCATTTCCCTCCTTTGGAAACCATCCAGTCGACGGGCCACAAAATGCTCCATTAGCACAGCGTACAAACCGTGATACGGTCCGCGTGCAGGTTTGGGGCCCATTTACTGGCCTGCAACAAGAGGCACAAAGAATGATTTTTTTTTCCCTTCATCATTTAAGAATAGAGATTGTACGGGACGTTTCTGTATTATGAACTAACAGCATTCTCTGTTGATTTCTCCTTTATTCATACTTGCCTTCTCAACATGCCACCGGCTCAGCCATGCCGTCCGCGATTATGCTGAAGGAATAACGAGAAGTCGTAACCATTAAAACTCGCCTATGCCGATTGTTTTAATAAAAGCAATCCAAACTCGCATATAGTGAGGCCTCCACGACAAGGCAGATCCTTTATTAATCCGAATACACCCCCAAACACTACCCATTTTAAGGCACAGCATTGACCTTTGTTAAAGTAGCGTGTTGTTCGGGTACACTGTTCACGTACTGGTCCTATTCATGGAGATCATCGTAAAGCTAGAGGTGACGGACCAATACGGGCGTTTTACAAAAGCGTACCTTCAAGAGTTTGAAACGCGTTGGCCAGTCACAAAGCGCGAAATCTGTCGCGTTTGGAAAGGGTCCACAGATTTCGAGCGTTGTGATTAGCCTACGCGTTGCAAACTCCTGGAGGCACACTATCCGGCTCGTAAGTGTGACGTCACTTCAGTTTAAACCACGCCCACTGCACACGTGCACTGCACGAAGGGTTACATGCATTGATCGCCGTTTACATGTACATGGAGCCATGGAACCGGAAGTTAACGCGCAACTTCTGCGATTGTCCAATGACAGCCTGCCGTGACAGCCTTTGTGGCGAAGTCACCTTCGAATCGGATTGCGTATCGCCCATATTCTTTTTATCACTTTCTTTTTATTTCTACCTGAGTGCAATGACGTCACGGATGGACTATTCGAGCATGGACATGATGGAACGCGGCGGGAACTTGACCTTTTTTCCCGGGATGCCTTGGTGAATGCACTGCAGCGTTCGATTAGCCTCATTTCGAGACTTCCCTAGCGTGTGCCACTAGTGTATTCAGGGAAGCTAATTGAACACACCAGCTACAGTATTTACTCCGAAATAAGCTACTTCAAAGAGCGCCCTCCTATATTGTCTGCCATACTTCGAAAAGGCTCACTTAGAGCTCGGATGCTTTGGTGGCTGTGTCAGTATTGAGTCATTGCGCACTTTCAATATGTTTACAAAGGTTGTGTAAACCCGTTCCGCGACTTTTAATCAAGTAAATAATAATACAGTGGGTAAATAATTGGGTGAATAATAACCTTTTCTTTTCGTTACTATATTTTAGGTGATGGAAAAGGCAGACACAGTTATAAATCCCACTCAGTCTCAGTGAAGCCAGGAATTTCCTACAGGGCGGCCAACAGCTGTCCACCCTGCTGGACACGCTGGCGAAAGACCGAGTCGGCTTCCGTCCCGTGAAATCATCGCCACTTTCCTAAGCAAGATTCCCTTCTAGAGCCCTGTCGGCGATTGCCACGCCCAAGCCGGAGAGGCGAGCGCTTACCTTCCCCGAGATCAAGGCGAGCATTGAATCACTTCATGAAGACACTCTTGGAGGCGCTGGGATTCGAGGTATACCACGTGGGCGCCAATATCTCTGGGAGGCCAAACAATCACCTGGTAACAGCGGTTAAGAGTCAGGTCCTACCTGGCGACCTTTATCTGGTAGAGGTTGGATGCGGGTATCCCACGTTCGAACCATGCATGTCTCTGGACTTTGATATGGAGTCACCAGTTTACACGTCAGGTTTCCTGACACACAAGTTCGTGGAGGATGACAACGGCAGCTAGCATTCAGTGGATGTACAAGGCGGGGCAGCATTACAAAGGAAGGCAGAGAATCGCCGAGGGCGAGTGGTACACGTTCAGGGTGTCTAACCTGGAGTGACAGTTTCTCGCAGACATAATGGACAATATTGTCCACACTGTAGAAAGCGGCCCAGAGGCCCTATCTGAAGTTCTTACACACCCTGACGGCGGTAACCCTCCGCAACGGCAGACTCGTAGTCATTAAAACACCGCCATCTTGGAGGAAGACGACAGCGGCGGGGTAAACAAGAAACGTGCATCGCGCCCTCAAGAGCTGTTGGAGGCATTCCAAAATCCCTTTTCTCAGTTTCCCACGGAGGCTGTTCTGAAGGCTGTAGAGACCATTAATCTCGAATTTTCCCACTAAGTTTATGATTAGGTCACCGATTTACTTGAATATAAAATCTTGAAATATCACCAAATCTGACGGATCAGAATTGATCTCGGGAACACGTATTCCTGAATTATTAAGCCAAGCACAACAAGAAATGCTTTTTACTGTCAACTACCTGTACACCACTAAAACGCTCTACGGGCTTATGTTCTCTCTGAATATTTCGATTTGACACGCATTAGTTTCTGTCCATTAATACAGCTGTTTCACAATAGCGCGCCACCAAGAGTTTACAACATGTTGGCCAATCACAACGCGCGAATTTGTTGACCAAATATGCGCGTTTGGAAAAGGTCGACAACTTTCGCGCGTTATGATTGGCCAACGTGTTGCAAACTCTTGGTGGTGCACTATTGTGAATCGCCTGTATTACAATAACAAATTTTCATTTAAATTGAAACACTCATTTTATTCTATGCGTTTATTTCTTTATACGTTTTGTTCATATTTTTGTTATACATACTCCTTTCATTTTATTTTTATTTTATCGTTGTTGTTGATTTAAATTTAGGACCCAGATGTTAATTGCTAAAAAATAACCAACTGTATTCATTCGAACAATTTGATACAGTTACAAAAGATTATGCAATTGACAGTAAAGTGCTTCTGATGCAAAGTGTTTTTAACAGCCTGTTCACAATTGGCATTTATTAAAATTAACTCAAAAGAACTCTAAATGAGCAAAACACGCGGATAATGTTTTGACGTTGTTTTTCTTCTTTTGTTGTTGCTGTTGTTGTAGTTATTGGTGTTGTTGTTTGCTGCTGCTGCTGTTGTTGTTGTTAATGTTGGTGGTGCATGTTGTCGGCGATTGTTGTTGTTTTTGTCGTCGTCGTCATGGCTGTTGTCGTTGTTTTTGTTGTTGTCGTTAAGGATCCAAGAGGGTCCACGTGCAATGGACCCAAGGGGGACACTTTTTTACGGAATATCATGAAAAAGCGAAAACAGCAACAAAATTTATCATCCATTAGTGGAATAAACTCGAAAAAGTTACATTGCCCCATTCGACTGGCCCTGGCGATAGTACTTGACATTTCACGTAGCGCCGGCATTATTTATGTGTTTTTACTGCAAGTTATTTTGCAAGGTGTTGCAAACTCTTGCTGGTGCACCACTGTCACACTGTCATCTGATCATTTTTTTCCAAAACGAAACTTGCGTACATCTATTACTATTTTCCGCCATTCAGTCTCATGTCATTATTTTTCAGACAGCAGGCATTGAACCAATACCATGATTATCAAATTCACCTTTCAAGGATGGAGTAGCCAGGCAGTCAGTGCGCACGCGGCAGCACCGGCCTCAGCAGAAGATGACGGCGCAGCTAGGTATGAATCAACAGTCGATTTCAAGGTTTTTTTTCCCTATCCCGGAAGTGTCACAAAATCATTTTCCTACAATTGTAAAGCCAACCCTTCATGATTTTGCTGGGTGTCACTTTCTTTTCTTTTGATTTGCTTCTTTGGATGATTCCTCTGGTGGGGAAATAATGTCCGAAACTGCACTGGGTCCAAGTTGCTAATGTCAATAGTTTGTTGGTCAGGACCTACGTTACTATTTCGTGGGCCTACACGTGTATGAATCGACTGCTGAATTTGTTCCTCCGTGAAGACGAAAACAAGCCTGTCGGATGAAGTTCGCTACCCCCCTGTTCAATTTACTAAGTCAACATGGATTACAAATTTGTCCCTTTGTGCATAGCCGTGAGATGGAATTTCCCCTGACAGAGATCATGATGGGTTAGCTGATTGCAATTAATGTTGTCAAAATTCAATAAACTGGCTGCACCAAATTACCTTATCGGAGTATGGAAATTAAAAAACAGGTGATTAATGTTGGGCGAAATTTGTACACCTCGTGAGAACATGATCGATTTGTGTTCTGGCGTCCGATATGCCCAGTGCAAGGCTCTAGACCTTTACACATGCCCGAAGTCCGGAAAGTTTACTTTTCATGGTAAAATGAAATTAATTAACCTGCACGTCTGACTATATGCTTGAAAAAAAAGCACACGACTAAGTAGGAGGCGCAACATTCAAGTTCACCCGAATCCGCCCCGAGTTGAAGTCACCTCCAAGCGGCCAAAGAAAGACATATGGTTGTATGTTTTCCAAGCGGGTTCTTGCACGCGCTCTACGTGTACGCAAAGACCATACAGCCTTACAGGAATAACATTACGAATTTCTTCCATTTAAAAATCTCTCAAAATTCCACATCCTTTTTGAGGAAAAGATTAATGGGAGCATGTCCCCTGTGGGGATAAAAGTATTTATCCAATCACTCAACATCTTCTGAAAAAGTAACAATCCAGACTTGCCTCCTACAGGTGGTCAGTCTATTGATTTGGTGCTCCACCAATGACTATGCTATGGAACCACAGGTCATCCATGGGTCAAATAAGTTCAAGCTGCAGTGAATGACTCCTCTGGGAGTATTTTACACAAACTGGTCAGAGAATTATAATGAGGGGCGAAAAGTGGCCTACGCGTACACAGTAATAAGTATACCAGTACTTGTACATGTGTATACAGTATTGTATATGTACATGGATATGTACATGTACTCTGTACTGGTACTGCAAGTGTGTTCTGGGATCCCATCTGGAGTAGGGATGCCACATAAATAGGCCCCAGTACTTTTTTGCTGGGCTCTGAAAAATGTTGCTCTATTATGTACAAGTTTATAGGTCTCCACAAGGTATGAACGTGCTCCTTTTCCTTTCAATTTACATTTTCAATTATCCATTGTTATTCAAGGTGTTTGTGGGGATGGGGTGGAATGGTGTTCACTTGCCATTTTGTTTAAATGGTCTCAGATTTTTGATGCTGCATTAAA